CTACTTCCATAGTGATACTGCCTCGGAAACCCAAGGAGGGGTCGCTATGAGTCGGGGCCGACTCGATGGCACATAACAACAACAACAACATAGAGTTTCCAAGACTGTAAATCTTTACAGAAGCAGACTGCCTCATCTTTCTTCCACGGAGCAACTGGTGGGTTCAAACCACTGTACTTCTAGTTAGCAGCCAAATGCCTTAACCACGACACCACCAGAGTTCTTTACTAATAAAATTACTGAATAAATGAGGGGGAAAAAAATTAGTAAAGTCTCCCTAAGTGTCATGAGTTTATTGTATCATAAATACCGTGAATTTATTAAAAAAACATGGAGAGTAAGCAAAGATTACTAATCTACAGAGAACAATAGCATCCATTTAATACTTTCTCAACTGATATATATACTACATCAATTTTCATTTTAGCTCAGAGACAGACAGATGGAGAAAGTTCTGAGATTTTTATCCTGAAATATCAGTTTCCAATTCTAAGTAGGTAAATATAACTCATGGCCATTAAGTTGATTTCAACTCCTAACAACCCTAGGACAGGGTGGAACTGCCCCACAAGATTTCCAAGGCTGTAATCTTTAAGGAAGCAGCCTGTCACAACTTTCTGCCACCGAGCAGGTGGTGGGTTTGAATCACCAACCTTTTGGTTAGCAGCCGAGCCCTTTAACCATTACACCACCAGAACTCCTTGTGAAAAGAACAGGATTAAAAATAGCTTCCAGTAGGAAGAGGAATGAAAGAAAGGTCCCCTCACCTCATGATGAGAGTCCCTACCATCTCCCGAGGGTATGCTATGAGCCAGTGCACCAGGCACCTGAACAGACCTGATCTCCACCTTCACATATACTGCAGGGTAGGTGTCACTCACTCACCCTTCAGAGATGAGATGACTGAAGCTCACAGAGTTAGGTGGCTTCCCATTGTTGTCAAGTTGGAACCAACTCATAGCGATCCCTCCTTGAGCTTCTGAGGTGGTATCACTATGGAAGTAGATTGCCCAGTCTTCCTTCCAAGAAGTGGCTGGTGGGTTTGAACTGCTGGCCTTCTGGTTAGCAGTCAAATGCCTTAGGCACTACACCACCAGAGCTCCTTAAAATAGTGAATGATAAAAGTAGGACTTGATCTCATATTTGTCTAACTCCAAGGTTCTTTCCCTTGTAAAAGGCTGACTTCCTCTCGCCATGCCTGCATAAATGCACTATTAGTTCACCAACTCTAAGGCTGGAGGGCTCAGTGTAAATCAGTGGCACCCAGGTGGGGATGATTTTGCTGCCAGAGGACATCTGACAATGCTACTACTGGCATCTGGTGGGTAGAGGACAGGAATGCTGCTTATCATCTTACAATACAGAGAATAGGCCCCAACAGACAACAATGATCTGACCCTCAATGTCAACAGTGGCCAGGCAGAGAAACCCTGGAGGAAAAGATCAGGGGCTGAGGATGAGAGCAAATGACAGGCCTGGAGGCATAAGCAGAGAAGCAGTGCACTCTTCCTAACATACAGGAGAGTCTGGAATGCTAACATGCTAGACTGACCTGCCCTCTTCTCTCTCAGAATAGCCCCAAAAGCCAAGTCAAGCCCAGCAAGCCACAGTTAAAGTCCAACTCTGTCTTAGAAGTCACTGGAAAGAGCAGCGCATTGCTCCTTCTAAAGCTGACACTGCTGCTCTTCTCTCTTTTCTCAGATACTTTCCTCTCACAGGCTGTCAATCCAGGTCGGAACAGACTCAGCACCATGAAATAGTCTTGTCATCCTCTGGTTAATGAAAAGGATTCCCTTAAATACTGTACTTCCTGCCCAAGGCAAAAGGGGTGGGGTGAAGGCCTTAGATCTCTAATTGTTCTAGGAGAATGAATTGATCATCTAGAATCTGGGGAAGGATACCAGAGATGACCTAGCCCAGAATCTTTTTTGAGTCATGAATATCTCAGAAAAACTAAAAAAATTATACATCTTTTCTCTAGAAAAATTCACACATAAACAGGCACGTGAAATTTTGCAAAAAATATCAGGAAATTAACCAATCTTATTAACCACAATCAAGGGGGACAGGTGTATGGAGTCTTCTGGACCTTTCTGAAAGCAGTGAAGATCAGCCCCAAAGCAAGTCAGCAGGATTCTCCTGACATCTCACAGAGCAACAGGAAGAATCTCTTCCAGGAATTCCTGCTTTCACCCTTGGGTGCTCAAACAGTTGCTGATAAAAACCACACACATATCAAGACTGAAGAAATGGAGGCATCTACCTGCTTATTTTCATACCCTGTATTCAACCTCTAAAAATACAAGGTCTGACTCATGGTACCAGCAAACACTTTCAGATATATTTTTTAATCTGTAACTTGCCTCTGCCTTTTAGAACCACCCAAATTTCTTTTCTGTCTGAGAAGTGAAGGCTGCATTCTCTTCTCTACATAGGACACAGACCTGCCAGCACCAGATCACACCTTTAAAAGCCTTCCCCTGTTCTTAAAAGAGCTCACCGAAGCTGCAAAGTAGTGCGCAAAGCTGTCATGAGGATTCCACTGCACAGCTCCAATATCCCACTTGCTCTGGCGAGAGATCTTTCGGTGACCTTCGAAAGGGGCATCTAGATTAACGATGTATAGGAATCGGCGGCTGGGAGAACAACAAAAATACATAAAGCATTAGCACTGAGATAGAAAAGCACACAGTTTGCAAGCAGTGCTCAAAAAGTAACAAAAAACCCAGATACGTATAATATTTATGTACTCTGAAACACATACAAGTGAGGAGAGTCATGGCAACTATTAGACAAACAAGTCACCTACCCTGTAAGAGTCTACTCCAGAGACAGTACTCCCTACTACAGCCAGCCATGAAAAGTCTAACCTTTTCCCACCAATTCAACTTCAATCCCCTCATCGCCATCTTTTCCAATCCCTAGTTAGGATTAATCCCTGCTTCCACATGACTCCCAGTGCATGGTTTGCATTTCAATTTCAGTACTACCAATATTAAGGTTCACGTTTAGAATCGATGAGCGCTTGGAATATGACCACATCATGACTATCTTTGTAACCCCCACGTCACTAGACACAGTGCTTTGTACGTAATAAATGTGTGTTGTATTAAACACATCACTCATCACTTGGCCAAAGATTCCAGAGAAAATCTCAAATTTCCTTGCAATTTGACTACATGATAAAGCAAACTACATCAAATCTACCAGATGGGGATATATTAACCAAAAAAAAAAAAAGTAATAATAATTAAAATAATGCACAAAGTGCTATCATGCCAAGCAACATAAAGGCTTCAAAGACAGGGATATTCAATGTTTTATCTACTTTCTTCTTAAATACAAAATCCCTGGTGTATGAATCAACATGTTTATAGGCATCAGCTTTGGAGTCTCTGTTAGTACACTCCAAGATCCTGGATGGGGAGGCTCAAACATGAAAGATTAATAGAGAGGAAATGGAAAGTTAAAGTGTTATGTAAAACTCTAGGTGGTAACAGAAACTCCAAGGAGAGATGGTTAAGAGAGAAGATGGAAAACACAGGTAAGTCACAAGTCCACAGGACTTCTAGGAAAGTTAGGACAGAACTATAACCTCTGAATGCCTGTGAAGGAGTGTCACCCGGTCCTGTGGCAGGCAGGAGGGCATCTTCTCATTAGTGAGGAAAGCAGTAAAGGGTTAAAAGTATACATTTGGGGTATAGATCAATAGGGGATTTGAGAGAGATTAAAGAGCATATGTAGAAAGCAGAAAGTGGGCACTTCAGTATAAACACGGCCGATTGAACATATGCGCTTATCTTCATTCCCCCCTTAAGTCCCACTAAAATAAAAGTTTTTTTTAAAAAATAGCAGAAACTCTCAAAGAAAAAGAAAATGAGAAAGGAAATGAAAAGCAGATGGGCCAGTGGTAATTGATCTGGAGTAAGAAAGCTAAGGGTCAAGTGCCTACAGATGGAACGGAATGGGAAGCAAGCTGACTCCCCGCAGAAGTCCAGCCCTGCTAGGGAATTGGAGGGTTCTGTCTAAAGCCAAGAGCAAGGGGTAGGGCTGGAAAATAAAAACCAGAACAAACAAAACAAGGAGACTCCTCTGAAAGAGCTCTCAGGAGCATGGTTTACGCCATCCCACAGAGCCAGGAGGAGGATGGGTCCTGTTAACCTAAGGCACAGGAGCTGGAACCAGAGGGCCAGCAGAGAGCAAGTGAAAGATACTACACAACAACAGAGGCGCGCAGTGAAATGTGAGGCCTTCAGGTCTTCCCTGCTCAGCACTCACAAGGCTAGGCTTTCAGTCTTCAGACAGATTGGAGGATTCTTCTCAGGAGAAAATTAGAAAAAACACGTTCAGCCCAAGGAAAAAACATAAGCAAATCAGCAAATGAAAAATGATGACAAAACTCTAGGCAGAATTACGTTTGTGCATCCCCCAACAAAAGGGTCTGGTTCCCACCTGATCTCCCTATAGTGACCCCCACCATCGGCCCATGTCCATAGAGACTTCAACCGTTGCCAATATTAACAGAGAAATGATGCTTATCAGTCATCAGAGGAAATCTGAAAAACAGACACCAATATGATCAAAAGAACAAAAGGAACTTAGAGGAAACAGAAACAATGCAGAGGAAAGGAAAACCTATAAATACTCTCCAAGAGGTAAGAGAAGACAATGTGGAACAAGAAAGAGCTCTTGGAGATTAAAATAATAGCTGAAATTAAAAATCTGATAAAAGGATTGGAAATTAAAGTTGAAGAAAAAGCCCAGAATGCAAAACAAAGAGAAAAAGATTGGAAGGGATGAAAGGGATTGCAGGATATCCAACATCAGTTTAAAGGAGTTTCAGAAAGAAAGAATGAGAAGAGAAAATGGAGGCAAGATTATTAGCAAAGGTATCATAGAGGAAAATTTCTCCAAACTAGAGATTTTCAGATTAAAAAGACCTTCCACAGTGCTGAAATATATTTTCTACCTTCATCTGAATGGCGGTCACATTGGTGTATATATTTGTAAAACACATTTGAGGTGTTCACTTAAGGTTAGTGCACTGTACAAAATTTACTACGTATATTTTAAAATTCGGGAGCTCTGGTAGCATAGTGGCTAAGGCACTTGACTGCTAACCAGAAGGCTGGTGGTTCAAACCCACCAGCCACTCCTCGGAAGGAAGGTTGGGCAATCCTACTTCCATAGAGATACTGCCTCGGAAACCCAAGGAGGGGTCGCTATGAGTCAGGGCTGACTCGACGGCACATAACAACAACAACAACAACAATTTTAAAATTCAGTATAAAAAAATGAAATGGAGAGCTATGAACTCACACTGACAACGGACTCTTAGATATGACAACAAAAGCATGTGCAACAAAAAACAAAATAAATAAATTAGACTTCATCAGAATTTAAAACTTTTGTGCATCAAAGGGCTTTTTGAACAAAATGAAGAGATAACCTCCAAATTGGGAGAAAATATTTGGGAACCATATAAAGTTCAATATCCAGACTACATAAAGAACGTCTACAATTCAGGGAGCCCTGGTAGTGTAGTGCCTGAGGCACTTGACTGCTAACCAGAAGGCTGGCGGTTCAAACCCACCAGCCACTCCTTGGAAGGAAGATTAGGGCAATCTACTTCCGTAGTGATACTGCCTCAGCAACCCAAGGAGGGGTCGCTATGAGACGGGTCCGACTCGATGGCATATAACAACAACAACAAACAATTCAGTAACAAAAAGACAACCTAATTTAAAAATGAGCAAAGGACATGAACAGACATTTCACCAAAGACATACAAACTGCCCATACGCACATTAAAAGATGCTCAGTTTTTCATTAGTCATTAGGGAAATGCATATAAAAACCACAATGAGTTACCACTTTACTCCTACAAGGATGGCTATTAGAAAAATGGAGAATAACAAGTCATTGGCAAGGATGTGGAAGAACTGGAACCTTCACTCATTACTGGTGAGGGGGTAAAATGGTGCAGCCCCTGGGGAAATCAGTATGACAGCTGTCCAAAAAAACAACACAGAACTACCATATGACCCAGAAATTTCACTTTTAGTTATATATCCAAAAGGAATGAAAGCAGGGACTTAGATATTTGTACACCAATGTTCACTACACTATTATTGGCAATAGTCAAAAGCCGAAAACAACCCAAGTGTCTGTCCATCAACAGATGAATGGATAAGCAAAATGTGGTATATCCATACCAAACCCAAAAACCAATTCACAGCGACCCTACAGGATATGTGAATAGTCCCACAAGGTTTCCAAGGCTGTAAATCTTCACAGAAGCAGACTGCCTCATCTTTCTCCCACAGAATAGCTGGGTCTGAAATGCTGACCTTTTCCAATTAGCAGCCAAGTTTTCAACCACTGTGCCACCAGGGCTCCTTTTATCCATATAAAAGAATATTACTATGGATATAAGGGAAAATGAAGTTCTGATACATGCTACAACATGGGTAAACTTTGAAAACATTATACTGAGTAAAATAAGTCAGAGACAAAAGGATAAATATTGCATGATTCCACTTACACGAAATATCTAGAATAAGGAAAGGCACAGAGACTTTTTGGTTACTTGGGTGGGGTGGGGAGTGGTGAATGGAAAGGTACTGCTTGAGGAGCACTAAATCGCTGTCACAAGTGGTAATGGATAGTGGTGGTGACTGTACATCATAAATTAAGTAAGGTCACTAAATTGTACAAATAAAAGTGGCTAAAATAACAAATACTTTGTTATATATACTTCACCACAATAAAAATCTTGGGGGCTGGTAAGGAGGCTACAGGTAGAAAAGAGATATGCATTTTTTCTTTATCTTTCCAGTGTAAAACAACAAAATGCTAATAACAATAATTGTCTCTGAGGAGGGGGTCAAGGTTAAGAGCAAAACTGACTTTTCATTGTATACTCTTTCAATCTATTTGAGTGTTTACCATATGTATCATTTTTAATGTCAATTAAAACAACTTAAAATAAAATAAAGCCAAAACCAAACCAAACTCACTGCCGTTGAGTCGGACCCAATCCATAGCGACCCCTTCTTGGGTTTCTGAGGCAGCATCACTATGGAAATAGATTGCCCAACCTTCCTCCTGAGGAGTGGCTGGTGGGTTTGAACTGCTAGCCTTCCAGTTAGCAGTCAAATGCCTTAGGCACTATGCCACCAGAACTCCTAAAATAAGGACGTTAATGGAAAGCAACTGACTTATAAATGGGTTCACAAACAACTAAGTTAATAAAAATACAGCTGTACTTGGGAGAAAGGAGGAGTAATTCAGAGCATTCTGAAAGGAAAGGGGGCCAACTCAACCTCACAGACATATACAGAACATTCTATAAAAAACAATACACATTCTTTTCCAGTGCACATGGGTCATTCTCCAGAACATACCATGTGTTAGGCCACAAAACAAGCCTCTATAAATCTAAAAACGTTGGAAAACTACAAAGCGTCTTCTCGGATAATGCTAAAATATTAGAAATCAATAAGAGGAAGACCAGGGGAAAAAACAAATACATGAAACTGAATAACACATTGCTCAAGAATTACTGGGTAACAGAAGAAATAAGGTATGAAATGATAATATTCCTAGAAACAGATAAGAATAAAATACAACATAT